CGTTATAGGGGGAATCTGCTACAAGGGATTGCTATGCTAGATGACTACTAAGCTCTTGTAAGAGCTTGTTCCTGTCTTGCTCTCTGGAGGAGTCTACAGTGGTTATGGTGTTGGCTGGAGTGCTTGGAGCCCTCAGGAAGCACTAGGAGCATCCTTCACCCAGTCGGGGTGCCAGGTGATCCGTTACACACAGCACTCGGGGTGCCTTTGCACAGTACTCAAGGCTGCCAGAGTCAAACAGGCTCTGACCTATCAGGAGTCCCAGTGAAACTTCTGATAGGCACAAAATACAAAAAGGTGGTGAAGGAAAATCCTCAATTTATGCATTGCAGCACGTAGAGGAAGTGATCTCAGAGCACTTCCTCCCAGCACTTGTGAATGGGAATCCACACTGGAGTAGAGCAGCCTGCAGCTGCTATTGCAGACCCAGTCCTTGACCTGTACTTGTCCATCATGGTCCCCACTGGACTCCAGGGAAGCCACCCACACTGTTAGATATACACAGAAATGCACAATAAACGTCCCCTCATACAAATAATATGAACAGTCCACACACAAACATACACACAATCCGCACAAATGCAACACAACTAACAATCCATATACATGCACAAAACCCCACATGCAGGCTCTTACATACAATACCTCAAACAGCCCCACACATACACACACCACCAAACACACTATGTGACATTTCCATCCACCCACACAATTCCACAAGCAGCCCCCAAACACAGCCCACATTTATAGGGTCACGATACCACTACTCATGAACATATACAATATAATAGCTCATATATAGTGATGTCGCGAACCGTTCGCGAACTTCCCGCGAACGGCTCGCCACGGTTCGCCACAACCGTTCGCGGCGAACTCCGGTCAGCTGACACATCCTGGCCAATCTCCAGCAGACCCTCCCTCCCAGACCCTCCCACCTCCTGGACAGCATCCATGTTGAAGCTGCCTGCGAACGGTTCGCGACATCACTACTCATATACGCACAAATACAACGATACACAGCAAATGCAGTATAAATAACACAAGCAGAATACGGCAACATACAAACTTCAATTAAAAATAATAGGACCGTCACGCTACGGGTATCACTTGTGGGTGCGAACCCTGGAAAGGTTAATTGTTTGGACCAGAAAGATAAGCTAGAGGTGGGCTCTGATCAATAACTGGGCTCGGGTGAAAGCCTAGGTCTTAACTTGAGCATTGGGGTGATGGACTATTAGAAAGTATTGACTGTTGGGGTTTGAATACATTAGAGTTTAAGATATAACTAATATTATTCCAGTAAAATTATTATATGTATTTTCTCTCTTAGACCATCCATGCACTGTTCGAGTGGTTGACTGCATTTGGAGTATATGGGTTCAATCTAACTCTCATTCCAGATTTTCAGGTTTGTATGTAGATTTGAAGCTTAGAAAAATGTAGTACATATACCTGAGGATTAAAGAATGTGAAAATAATATTTCATAGCCATTGATAATCAATATGCAACTGACCTCGATGTATCAACAATCTCAATAAGCCTTAGTCAAATAAATAAATACTAGTTTCTTTAGTTTCAATGCCATTTTATTTCAGCCACCAAGTGGTGACCTGGCAGCAATTTAATTGTGCCCATGTTTTGAGAAGCACTAATTCAGAATCAAAACATAGCCAGGTCACTCATTAGGGGCAGAAATAAACACACACTGAAAACCTAAAAATATGTTCATATTTATTCACGAGTGATTTGGCTTGTAATAAATTATTCTTAGGAGGTTTACTTTAGAAGAAAACTACTTTCATTGTCAAACTCCTGTGTGTGCCGTCCTCATGTCTTGCTGGTGGTTTATTCTCTAGTTTTTAGTTTTCCAGACACTATTTCTGTAAATATCCTCCTGATTTTCTTCTAGTCTCCTCTGATAGCATGCATACTGGAGTATGATATTTGTAATCCCATTTCTTCTCCCCATGCTTGATTGCCTTTATGAAATCCTTAAGGAGACATGCCAAACATCATATAAACATTCACTTAGTCTGCCTTTCACAAATTCTAATTCTTGTAACTGATTTGAATTAATTGTTAGAATTGTTTGCTTTCTTTGAAATCACAAAATGTAATAACAAAATTGTCAGTCACTTCACTTATGGCTTTCCCTAAAATGTATTTCTTAACAAAGCATTTTACGAGGAAGGATACCTTGAGGTTTATCTGGTTTTCAGGTATACTCCGAGAGGACCATGAAAATTATGGCAAATTATGTTCGTCAGCTACGAACTAAATTCCTTTTAATCTGCAACCGAACAAATCAATCCAACTGGGATTCACGTGTGGAGTCTTTTTCATTGAATAAAACACCACAGGTAAATCCCTGATGGCACAATTGCTTCAGAATTAGATTAAAATTGATTTAATTGTTTGTAACAGCTCAAAAGAATTTGTGCATGAGTCTAATCTTACGGGAAATAAAAGTCAACAATACTAATTTACAGTTTACATTGTTACTGTTATTCGACATTTCTCTTTGACAAAATGTTTTCTGTAGAATATCATGTCATGTGATGCGTTTTATTTAAAAATATAAATCAATTTGATCAATTAATTATATGGTATGTCCACCTGATATTTCTTTTTCTGAAACAGAAACTCTCTATCAGAGTGCCAGAAAACTGGAAAGATGACTGGATCATCATGAGGGAGACCATCCAAGACAAGGAACAAATCCCATGATGACACCAAGTTTTCACAGCGGGTTGCTGAAACACTCTAGCATCCTGACTGCCTGCATCTAAACTCCAAATAAACAAGGTATATTGTAATTCTATTGTTGTATGAAATTCAATTTACAATGGGAATAAATAGACACAAAGAAGAAAAGCGCCAGAAAAGCTCAAATTGAACATGGCAATATGCTATATATAACCTATCTAACCATGTACATGATGCTCTCTGCTTCTGCACTATGTGTGTGTGTTTCTGGGTCTCTGAGTGGCTCCCTATCTCTTTATGTCACTAAATGTATCTCCCTATTTATATAAATGAGCCTTTAGTGATTTATTATGGAGGTCATTGAGCAACAGTTTCACTTGTGAGTGTAATCTCTGGAAAGGTTAATTCATTGTTTGGACTAGCAAGGCAAGCTAGAGGTGGGCTCTGACCAATAAATGTGCTCAGGTGACAGTCTAGGCCTTAAGTTGATTGGCTAGTATTGACTGTTTGGGTTCAAAAAGTTGTTAGGGTTTTAGATATCTCTAATATTATTCCAGTGAAAAAACATCTTGTGTCTTCTCTCCTAGACCATCCATGCACTCACTGCACTGTTCGAGTGGTTGACTACATTTGGAGTATTTGGGTTCAATCTAACTCTCATTCCAGATTTTCAGGTTTGTATGTAGATGTGAAGCTTAGAAAAATGTAGTACATATACCTAAGGATTAAAGAATGTTTAATTTTAATGTGCTTTTATTTCAACCACCAAGTGGTGACCTGGTAGCCATTTAATTCCAACCAATTTTTGAGGACTCATTCAGAACCTGTATGTAGCCAGAGAACCAATTGGGGGCAGAAGTAATGACACATTAAAAACCTAAGAAAAATTGGCTGGCGTAATTTATACTTAGTATATAGTACATGATATTGCTTACTATAAATTATCCTAAGGAGGTTTACTTTCAACAAAAACTACTTTCATTATCAAGCACATGTTTGTGCAGTCCTCATGTCTTGTAGTTGGTTTATACTCTAGATTTTAAGTTTCCAGACACTATTTCTGTTAATAGTCTCTTCTGATAGCATGCATACTGGAGTATCATATTCATAATCCGGTTTCTTCTCCTCAGTGGCTTACTAAGGGGGAGAGGGCAGAGGGAGTGGTCCACCCTGGGTGCCACTCACTAGGGGGATACCTGGGGTGCACTTTCATGCCGCTTGCAGAAGTCTCCACGTTTGCTTCACACCCGGCAGCCCCATATCCTCTGTACTCGCAATCCACAAGAACTTTGCCGCGCGTTGATATGGCAACGCTTCGCAAACAATGGATGCCAGAGCGCTGCTATGGCAAAGCCGCGGCAACGCTCTTGCGGGTCATGAGAACAGAGCATGTGCTGTGCTGGATGTGAAGCAAACATGGAGACTCCTCGGCCACTCTTACCTGGACAACCATACTGTGCCACCGGACCACCAGGGAATTTAGTGTGTGTCCCCTCCCTGGACACAGGTAAGAGTCAGGGAGGGGAGGGACACACACACAAACAATACACACTGCATACACACTATACACACACACACACACTGCATACACACTATACACACACACTGCATTAACACTATACATACACACACACGCACTGCATACACACTATGCACACAATGCATACACTATACACACACACTGCATACAGTACACAAACACATACACTACACAGACACACACTGCATAAAAATAAACACACACACTTATACCTGGGTGTCTGTGTATCTGTATGTGTGTCTGTATATGTGTATCTGTATGTGTGTCTGTGTATCTGTGTGTCAGTGTATCTGTATAGCTGTATGTGTGTCTGTGTCTATGTGTCTCTGTACTTGTGTGTCAGTGTGTGTCTGTAAGTGTGTGTTTGTATCTATATGCATGTATCTGTGCATCTCTATCTGTATGTGTAAATATAGAATTATAAGAAAAGCTCAACTGAAGGTGGGTGAAAAAGTACTGGGTGCTCTTTAAGGAAAAAATCCATTACCACACCGGATATATATATATATATATATATATATATATATATATATATATATACATACAATAGAGGTAATAATGATCCCAAGGCACACCGTAATTTGCACATAAAAAAGTGTTTATGCATGCATTGAAAATACAACAATAGGCTTTGACAGAAAGAAAGTGCATAAGGTAGTGCATATCCAATCTATAATACCAATACCACAATAATAATAAAGTGCTAAATGCAAACACCCATTAAAAAGGTATACTGACCAAGAGCAGGAGAAATGAAAACACTGACGTTTCAGCTCCGAAGCCTTCCTCTGGGACTTCCCCCAGAGAAAGGCTTCAGAACCAAAACGTCTGGGTTTTCATGTCTTCTGCTTTTGGTCAGTATACCTTTTTAATGGGTGTTTGCATTTAGCACTTTATTATTATTGTGGTATTGCAAACTTTGGTGTGCCTTGGGATCATTATTACCTCTATTCTGTCTGTATGTGTGTAAGTGTTTGTCTGTATCTGTGCATGACTGTGTTTCTATGTAATTGCATGTGTAAATTAATGTTTCTGTGTATCTGTATGGGCCAGTGTGTGCATGTGTTTGACTATTCCTTCAGGCATACAATAAAAATGAATTTGTTTATACCAGCTTAAAAAAGAATCAGTGCCTGAGTCTAATGTTATTGAGAAATCATTATCAACAGGGGATTTACAGTTAATGTTTTCTCAGTCATAATGTTGTTACTCAACATTTCTCTTTATGATGCGTTTTATTTAAAATTATAAATCAGTGTGATCAATTTATGATATGGGTATGTTCACCTGAGATTTCTTTTTCCGAAACAGCAACTCTCTCTCAGAATGCCAGAAAACTGGAAAGATGACTGGATCATCATGAGGTAGACCATCCAAGACAAGGAACAAATCCCATGATGACACCAAAATGACAGAGCAGGTTGCTAAAACACTCTAGCATCCTGACTGCCTGCAACAGACTTAAAAAAAAAAAAGGTAAATTGTAATTCCAATCTCATATTTGAAGTGGTCAAAGATGTGTTTATTGTAGAACTCTGGCAGCATTGTGAACAGTGCCTTTTTTTATTACATATATGTTTAGTAGCTTTATATATATGCATATCAAAGTAATTGTGCAGTATGTACATATACTTTTATATTTAAGTGATTTTGCCATTATTTTCCTCACACTGGTATCCCCTGTACCTTGCTTTACTCAGACCTTCCAGATTATTCACTAAACTCTGAATAGTAGTAAATTGAAATCCAATTGGCAAAACTGTGGTTAAAGTAGCCAAACTATGACTATAGCTGAGATGGAATTCATTTTTTCTAGATTGGTATTGCTAAATTGGCTCTTTTTGCCTAGATTTTGTCATTCAGATATCAATTAACAACGGTTTAGGATTTAGGCACTAATCATGTTTTCATTTATCTAAATCTACCTGACTCTAGAGGTAAGTGTTATTAGATTTAAATTGCATATCAACTTTTTTTTTTTGTTTATTGTGAACAATTCACTTAAATACTCAGTTGAAAGATTTCAAGTTTTAATATCTTTGTGAAATTTTCTATTAAACGTTGTATAAAATTATAGTGAATTCTACTTCCAGGCACGGAATATTTAATGAGATGATCAAACAGTTTGAATTAAAATAAATACTTTCTTTTTTTTTACTGTTTCTTAAAGTTTTTACTTTTTTTTTTCTTAATTTGAATCTAAATTTACAAATGTATGTGTGTGTAAAAATATTTTGTGATCAAAATTTAAATTAGTACTATACAGAATAGTATGTTACAAAAATATTATGTATTAACTGTTCTAATATGATCCCATCCCTTGATTTAAAAAATAATTCTATTACATTTGTCTTCTATAGGTGATGATTGATACCAATATCTGCAATGGCTACTAACGCCAGATCAATTAACACAGACTAAAGGTCTATTAATGCTTTTGCACCTGGGTAAGAATGGTCATCTTTTCACCTAGCATCACAATAGAACATCGGTGACTATCTGTATGAAGACATGACATGTGCTCCTCCTTTGAACGTGAAGCCAGAAATTATGATATTCAGAAAATTTTCATCATTATTTTTTATCTCTGTAATATGGCTTGATTTTCTCATTAAAATTCTAATGTGCACATTGTTACTATAACAGAAAATCTTTTTGCTTTGTTTTTAATTCAAAAGAAATAATATTTGTTAAATTATATCTAATAATAATAATAATTATTATTATTATTATTATTATTGTCATTTATATAGCACCAACTTATTCAGCAGTGTTTTACAATATTACAAAGGGGGAAATGTAACAATAAATGAGACAATTATAAAATGTTACAGGAACAATAGGTTGATGGAGACCCTGCTCAAACGAGCTTACATACAATCTAGAGGAGGTAAAGTGTGAAAACACAATAGAAAGGTCAACCAAACGTCAAGGTGGGAAAGTAGCAGAACTGGAAGGTGAGAGTGGAGTATGGCCCTTTAAGAGTAAGCAAGAAACAGGTTTGTAATTAGAAGTTATTCTGGGAGGCCATAAGTTTTTCAGAAGAAATGGATTTTGAAGGACTTATTGAATACTAGGAGAGAGTCTAGTATTTAAAAAGTTATTGAATACTAGGGGTAGACAGGCTGTTCCAAAGAAATAAGGTCACTGGCAGAACGATGAGACTGAGAAACAGCAAACTTAGAAATTACTAGGGGCTAGAGCTGCTTAGAGGTTTATAGGAAATGGGTAGTATTTCGAATTAACCCCTTAAGGACAGAGCCAAATGTACACGTTGTGAACGAAACAAAATGTAAACAAAACCTGGCATTTGCGCTACATGTCTGTCCAACCATAATTCACCTCTTTCATATTAAATGCACCCACCCTTATTATATATCATTTTATTCAGGAGAAACGGCTTTTATTTAATATCAAATATTTAGCTATGAAACATAATTTAATATGAAAAAAATGGGTGAAAATAAGATTTTTTTTGATTTTTTTTAGTTCTACATGACATTTTAACGGTCAATGTCATAATACTGTTTGCTTTTACTGCAATAAAATACACATATTTGTATTCAGCAAAGTCTCACGTGTAAAACAGTACCCCCTATGTACAGGTTTTATGGAGTTTTGGGAAGTTACAGGGTCAAATATAGCACGTTACATTTGAAATTGAAATTCGCCAGATTGGTTACGTTGCCTTTGGGACTTTATAGTAGCCCAGGAATGAAATTTACACCCATAATGGCATACCATTTGCAATAGTAGACAACCCAAGGTATTGCAAATGGGGTATGTCCAGTCTTTTTTAGTAGCCATTTGGTCACAAACACTGGCCAAAGTTAGCGTTAGTATTTGTTTGTGTGTGAAAAATGCAAAAATGCCAATTTTGGCCAGTGTTTGTGACTAAGTGGCTACTAAAAAAGACTGGACATACCCCGTTTGCAATACCTTGGGTTGTCTACTATTGCAAATGGTATGCCATCATAGGGGTAATTTTCATTCTTGGGCTACCATAGGATCTCAAAGGCAAGTACCCAATCTAGCAAATTTGAATGTGAAAAAAATGAAACACAAACCTTATATTTGACGCTATAACTTTTGAAAACACCATAAAACCTGTACATGAGGGGTACTGTTGTACTCGTGAGACTTCCCTGAACACAAATATTTGTGTTTCAAAACAGTAAAAAGTATCGCAGCAATAATATCGTCCGTGTAAGTGCTGTTTGTGCGTGAAAAATGTAAAAAACGTCACTTTTACTGGCGGTCTCATCGTTGTAATACATTTTACTGTTTTGAAACACTAATATTTGTGTTCAGCGAAGTCCCCCGAGTAGAACAGTAACCCCCATGTACAGGTTTTATGGTGTCTTGGAAAGTTAAAATATAGTGCTAGCAAATTAAATTCCCTTTACTTTCGGTATGGGTTGTCAGGCAGGTCCCGCTTAATTGTAATATAATTAAGATACCTAATTATGTAAAAATATTACATAAATATATATAGTAGAATTAATATATATATATATATATATATATATATATATATATATATATATATATATACGTATGTGAATATATATGTATATACATATACATAATTTTTTTTAAATATTTTTATTTATATATAGGTATATATATAGTGATATATACGTATATATTTATGTATATAGATCTATATATTATTTCGGTCTACGTGTATTTTGATATAAATAAAACACATCTATATATTTTTTAATTATTTTTATTTTATTTTATTTTTTAACGTATTTACATATTTAATTTTTTTATATTATATATAAATATATATAACAATAATTATATATATTTAATCAGTATCAGTCTATGTGTAATTTGATATTAATATATATATATAATTATATACATATTAATAGTAAAATACACATAGACAGTGTACGTGTGTGTATGTATATGTGTATATATACTTAGATCATATATATATAATATATATGATCTAAGTATATATTATTTTTTTTTTACACGTTTTCCTTTTATTTATTTTTATTTTCAGCCAGCAGGGGGACCACCTGTCATTACAGGCAGCCCCCCTGCTGGCAATACAGGAGGCAGCTATCCCGGCCATGTGATTGTGAGGTCCTCGCAAGGACCTCACTCTCACATGGCCGGGGGGGCACCGGAGGAGGAGGATCTGCCGCGGGGGGGCTCCCTGGGAGTCCCCCCCACCGCGATCGCCGTCGTGGGACCGCCGGCAACCGGGTAAGTAAGGAAAGACCGGAGGGCGTACTGTTACGCCCGGCAGCGTTTAGAGCCGCCTAAAATAGGGCGTAATAGTACGCCCTCCGGTCTTAAGGGGTTAATGTCTAAAGGATACAGAAAGCCAATGTAAGGATTGACAGAAAGGCAAGGTGTGAGAGGAGCTACAGGAGAGAAAAATCAGCCTGGCTGCATCATTAATTAAAGACTGTAGCAAGGCAACACGGTTTCTGTGGTGACCAATTAAGAGTGAATTACATTAATGTGAGAAATTACTAAAGCCGGGATTCCCAAATCCACTTTTGAAAACAGTAAATTTTCTCGACCCACTCACTTGTAACGCATATTTTAAAAGGAAGGGGGGATGTGACACATCATGGCAATCAACTTTAGATGCATAAAATTGGCACATCATGGCAATCAGTTTTAGAGGCATAACATTGGCAAACCATGGCAATCAGTTTTAGAGGCATAAAATTGACATATCATGGCAGTTCTATAGGCATATTATGAATGTATGTTTATATGTATATCATATTGTGTATGTGTGTGTGTGTGTGTGTGTGTGTGTATGTGTCAAGATGTGTGTATATATATCGGTGTGTCTCTGTCAATC